TGCGTGTGTGCGTGTGTGCGTGTGTGCGTGTGTGCGTGTGTGCGTGTGTGCGTGTGTGCGTGTGTGCGTGTGTGCGTGTGTGCGTGTGTGCGTGTGTGCGTGTGTGCGTGTGTGCGTGTGTGCGTGTGTGCGTGTGTGCGTGTGTGTATGTTTGTGTGTGTGTGTGTCGGCCCCGAAGAATCGGCGGCCTGGATGAGTCGGATCGGCGGACATCGGCAGCCGAGTCGGGAGAAGTCGAAGCGGCGGAAAACGACAGGCAAGTGGGCCTACAGGGAGGAATCGGAATGCAGATCCGAATCCCAAGTCGAATCGAATCGGGATGGGAATCGATCGACATCCGACCAGATCGAGCTGCAGGAGCCGCAAGGAGCCCGGCCCGGCGGCGACGACGGCCGCGCGGCGGGTGCGCGCTTCTTCTGCCCTGCAGGTTCTCTCTGCGCTTCTCCTGCTGCTCCTGGGCGGGCGGGGGGGGGGCTGGCCCCAGGGCGGGCGCTGCGCGCCGCCGAACATGCAGCGCGACGAAAGCCCTCCCCCACGGCGGCGAGCGAGGGGGGGAAGTGAAAAGGAGGAGGCCGTTTTTAAGAAGGCGGTCGGGCTTTTCAGAAGCCCTCGTGCCATCTGGAAGGTGTTCGGCACGCTTTCGGGGAAGGCTTAGAAAACCCCCAAAAAAAGGCCAGGGGACTTCCTCCGAGCCTTCTGAGAAGGCCCGCCACTTCTCACTGCACCCCCAGGCTCGCTGCCGGTTTCCGAGGATCAAAGCTCAAGGACACGGTTCTGTGACGATTTGTTCGTATAGGGGGAAGAACGTCCAGCAGTCTGGCCGTCCGAGTTCGAAGCGAATTATCGCGGTGAGCGGGGAAACGGCCGCTCAACATGCATAAATCCGCCGATCCGGCGTGTGAGTTTAAGAAGTCTACGCTGAAGCTCTGCTTCAGCATGAGCTTTACTCTGCTTGGGAGGGAGGGCGGGGGGGGGCGTGATTACCTGACGAATTATGTGCTCGGCACCTCCCCCCACCCTGCCAGGGACGTAAGGGGGGGGGACGTGATTACCTGACGAATTCTGTGCCCGGCACCTCCCCACACCCTGCCAGCTCCCAGGAGAGAGGGGGGGGGGACTGGAGAGAGGGGGAGGGGGGGGACAGGAGAGAGGGGGGGGAGGCAAGCTAGGTGCGCTCACGTCATATCTGACATCATACCCCTCCCTCCCATCCCTTACCATGACGCAGATCCCCTCTCTACTCCCACAGTCGGATGTCGAGCAGGGCAATGATCCCGAAATGGTACGCGATGCATTGTAGAGCACGGCATGGCATGGCGTAGAAAAGCACCGTAAAGCGTAGTATCAACCTAGCATTGCATTGCACGCCGTGGCATGGCACGGGAAGTGACGCCAACGCTGCAGCGGGAGCACGAGTCGAAACGAGCGGAAGCGCGGAAATGAGGCCACCGCTGCAGCGGGAGCACGATTCGGAACGAGCGGAAGCACGGAAATGAGGCCAGCGCTGCAGCGGGAGCACGACTCGGAACGAGCGGAGCCCGAAAATGAGGCCGGCGCCTCAGCGAGAGCAGCATTTTGGAAAAAAATGCAGGCGAAAACCCAACTCCGGAGAAACCTGTGTGTGACAAAACACTACGCGGGGGGGTCGGACACTCCCAGGCCGTAATCAGGGGAAGAGGGAGAGTAGTACTCATATGAGTTGAAGTTGAAAAAAGGAGAGACGGGGGGGGGCAGGAGAGAGGGGGGGGCAGGAGAGGGGGGGGGACAGCAGGAGGGGGAGGGGGGGGAGATAGGGGAGGGACGCAGGAGAGACGGGGGGGGCGACAGGAGAGAGGGGGGGAAGAGGGGGAGGGGTGGACAGAGGGAGAGGGGGGGGACGGAGAGAGGGGGGGGGAGGGGAAAAAGAGAGGGAGGGTGAGGACAGGAGAGGGGGGGGGGAGGGGGAGGAGAGAGGGGTGGGGGGGGACAGGAGAGAGGGGGGGAGAGGGGGGGGGGGGGGGGGGAACAGGTGAGAGGGGGGGGGTGGGGGACGGGAGAGAGGAGGGGGGGAGGGGGGGGAAAAATAGAGAGGGGGTGGGGCAGGAGAGAGGGGGGGGGACAGGAGAGAGGGGGGTGGAGAGTGGGGGGGGGACAGGAGAGGGGAGGGGGGAACAGGAGAAAGGGAGGGAGGGAGGGGGAAAGGAGAAAGGGGGGGCGGGGGGAGAGAGGGGGGGGACAGGAGAGAGGAGGGGGTGAGAGGATCGGAGAGGAGATGAGGGGTGGGGCCAGGATCATCACCATCTCCATCACCATCACCATCACCACCGTCACATCACCAGCATCATCATCATCATCATCATCATCATCATCATCATCAGCAGCAGCATCAGCAGAAGCAGCATCATCATCATCAGCAGCAGCATCAGCATCATCATCATCATTATCATCAGCATCATCATCAGCAGCAACAGCATCAGCACCAGCATCAACATCATCATCATCATCAGCAGCATCAGCACCAGCATCAGCATCAGCATCATCATCATCATCATCATCATCATCATCATCATCATCATCATCATCGGCGGCACTGGCCGGAGACCACTACAAGATGTACTTGCCCGACCTCGGAGGCGGGCCACAGCGGGTCAATGACGCCATCACTGCTCGCCATCCTCTTCTTCGTCGAATTCGCCCTCCTCCTCGGCGGTGGCGTACTGGCAGCGCTGGCACTTGGAAACCGAGTCATGTTACAACGCCTTGCGCCGAAACACGGCAAAGGAAGCTCATGCTACACGATTATGCCCGCAAAGGCTACTGCCATCTTCAATTCACATTCGTGGGGATGTCGCAAACTGACGCTTTGATGTTGTTCGGGATCCACCCAACGAAATACGAGAAACTCTTCTTTTGCACACTCAACATCTGCTCGTCATCTCCCTTCGTGGAAATGCGATCGCGGAAGGGCGCCGCAGCGGTCAAGTAGCGACCGTGACGTTGGTTTTTCGTGCACGTCATGTTTTCCGCATCGCGGCGCTGCTCGTTCGGCGAGCTGGCATGCACTTCTGGTGAATGCATGCGAGGGGATTACGAATACAGGTCAGATGAACCCCCTAGCACGCGTGGCCACTCAGCCCCCTAGCACGCGTGGCCACGTGCTCTGCAGAGGCGCTTGCGGGTGCAGCTGGCGGACGCAGAGACCTTCTGCCCGGCGTGCGACGGCATCCTCGACGTCTACGGCGACCACGCGCTGGTCTGTCCTTGCCGAGGGGACCGAGTCAAGCGGCACAACGCCTTACGAGACCAGGCTTTCTTCGCCGCGCAAGCCGCGGGGTTCCCAGGCTCCGAGCTCGAACGGCCTGGCCTTCTGCAGCCTCGCGCGAGCGGCGATGGCCCGCCTGGGACGGAAGAGAACGGCGGCGAGCTCGACGACGGCGGCCGACGCCCGGCGGATGTGTATATTCCCCGTTGGCGTAACGGCGCCCCGGCCGCCCTTGACTTCGCGGTCACCTCGGGGCTGCGGGGCGACCTGCTCGCCGCCTCGGCTGCCGCGCCTGGCGCCGCGGCCGAGCGCTACGAGGAGCAAAAACGCCTCTTCCTCAACACCGAGCGCAGCTGCGCCGCCGCTGGGATCACCTTCGTTCCCATGGTGGTCGAGGCGCACGGCGGCGGCTGGGGCAAGGAGGCGCGACGCGCCCTGGCCGTCCTGGCCAAGCGCGCGGCAGACGCCACGGGGGACGACCCCTCGCAGGTGGCGGCGGAGCACGCCCAGCGACTCTCGCATCTCCTCCAAAGGGAGAACGCGCGGGCCGTGCTCCGCAGGCTACAGGCGCCGGTCGGGGCGCCCGCGGCCAGGTTTGCGGCGGCCACGGCGGCCAACGCGGCCGACGCCGCCTGAGCCGCCGGCCCACTCCCCCTCCCCTGACTACGACCACCGCCCCCGGCCCGCCCCAACGACCGCGACCGCCCCCGACGCCCTGCCCTGACTTGACCACGACCGCCCCGACGACTGCGACCGCCCCCGACGACCACGACAGCCCCCGACGACCAACGCCCCCGACGCCCTGCCCTGACCACGACCGCCCCGACGACCACGACCCTCCCCGACGACCACGACCGCCCCCGACGACCAACGCCCCCGACGCCCTGCCCTGACCACGACCGCCCCCTCCCCCGTCCACGACGACGACCTCCTCCGTCCGCCCCCTCGTTCCTGCTTGCTCTGCGCTGCCTCTGCCGCTCCCCTCCCTCCTCAAGTCCTGTTCGGCGTTTGTTCGCAATGCTTTTTCTTCTTGCCCCTCCTCCTCCTCCTCCTCCTCCTCCTCCTTTTCCTGCTCCTGCGACCGGAGGCCCGGCGTCTGAAGGCGTCTCTAGGGCTTGGTCTGCAGCGACCGTGCGCGGGTTAAGGTCGGGCCGACTCTTTGCCCGCGACCGACGATCGCAGTTCTGATTCTGCTCGCAGGGCGGGCGTCTGGCAAGGACGTGCGCCAGAGCCGAGCGAGAGCCCGGGCTCCGAGGCAAGGGCAGCGTTGACGCTGCCTTAGCGCGTGAGCCCGGTCGGTTCGGCCCAGAGAGGCCTGGAGTGTCCTGGCCGCCGGTCTTCCACGGCCTCCTGCCGCTCCGGCAGGCCGTTCGCAGCCCTCCCAGATCCCACCGCGCATGCCCACCTCCACTCCACGAGGAGTGAACCCTAGGCTTGACGAATCAGACGCCTTCAATGCAAGCAACAGGGTTACCATCTCCGTGGGCGATGGGGACTGCAAGAGGACATCCATCAGCTCCAAAAGCGCCCGGCCCGCCATGAGTCGATAAGACAGCGTTGCTGCCGCCGCTAGCGTGGCCGGTGCCGATAGGCGCTGGGACGTCCCCCAGCGTGCACCAAATTTCAAGCAGTGACCATACGGTGCCTGTCGGCGACACTTTGGCCGCCTCCCCGCGAGCTGGGTGAGCTCGGCAACGATGGAGTCCCACGGCCGCCTCCCCTATGTGACCTCCCGGCCTTCCTTTCACTGGGTAAGACCATCCCATGGGTAGAGTACCACGCATAACCGCCCAGCCCCAGCCCTAGCGGCATAGGGTGACCGCGCCCTGGGGCGATGACCCCCTGCAGGGAAGGAACGCCCCACAGGACCACTCCCCAGGATGTTTTCCGCATCGAACTTCTGTTGGATCAGCTCTGGGACTGTCACGTTTCTGTACTGCTGGGAACCCCTGCTCGTGAGCGGCGCGAAACCAGTCATAAAAAAGTGCAGGCGCGGGAACGGGATCCTATTCACGGCGATCTTGCGCAAATCACAGTTGACCTGCCCAGGGAAACGCAGGCACGTGGTCACGCCACTGATCGCCGCACTCACGAAGTGGTTCAGGTTTCCGTACGTCGGAATCGTCAGCTTCGACGTCCTAAAACAGACATCATAAAGCGCCTCGCTATCCAACAAGAAACATTTGTCCACGTTCTCCACGAGCTGGTGGAAAGAAAGGACGGCGTTGTATGGTTCCATGACGGTATCCACAACTTTGGGCTGGGGATGATATCCATGATGCGGTCCGGGTACTCCTTGCGGACCTCAGTGATCACCAGGGTTCCCACCCCATCGGCTGTGCCTCTTTACAGTCGCACTCTTCGGCCTCCTTGCGGATGACGTCGAAGACGCCATCGATCAGTTAGGCCCCTTCGGCACACGAATGTTAACGATGACTGTGGCCAATCCCGAAGGAAACCAAGCCAACGAGGAAGCTGAAGATGAGGATCAAACTCCAGTCCTTGCCAGAGAAGTAGATGAAGAAATCTGAAGACGAGGGTCAAATTCCAGTCCTTGCCAGAGAAGTATACGAAGAAAGCTGAAGATGAGGATCAAACTACAGTCCTTGCCAGAAATATGTATGACGAAAGCTAGAAATAAGGATCAAACTCCAGTCCTTGCCAGAGAAATGTATGAAGAAAGAGCCAACGCAGAGGTTGATGATGTTGGTGATGGTGATGCTGATGCTGAACGTTGAATAAAGTCATATAGGGTGGAGGACGTGTGGTGTACCCTCAGTGGTGGCGGCAGGCCTATTGGGCCCACTTTTGGTTGGTGAAAAAATGATGGTGCCATCCGATGCACGCCCCGTCCCGTCCACAGGGACTTAGTGGGGAGGTGGGTGGACGGGCCGCACCCCCAGGCGTCGCACGTGACGCGCCAGGGGTGGTGGGGATTTGGGACAAGGTGATCCCTCCCTCCTCTCACCTCCCACGCGGCTCAAAGTCCCCGCTCCCTTCAAAGTGGCATCAAAACCCCACCCCAAAATCCAAATCCAGATTCATGTTGCTACTCGCGCGCTTGCTGCTCACTGGCATACTGCCAATCCCAATCGTGCTCCAAGAGGCCTCCACGACGCTGCAGCAGTTCTGAAACCGCTGTTGCCCGCCTCGCTGTCTCACTATACGCCTATCCGCCTGCCCTGCACCGACAGCTCGCCTGGGAACCGCTTCTGCATGGGCTGGCGGGGATACGCGAAGCGCCGAGAGTCCACGCCGACCCAGGCGAGGAAGAGGCTGGGCGGGCACAGAATCAGATCACGCAGCTGGTTCTCCTGGCACCTCCTGGCGCCAGAGGGCGCCGATGCATCGAGGAATGGGCCCGGCGGCGGGGCGGAAACCAGCTGCATATGCAGCAGATATCCTAACCCTCCTTTCCCTATCCTGCCCTGTCGTACGCCTCGAAACTATCTACACAGACACCCTCAGACATATTTGGCACTCACCTTCAGGGAGCGAGGCGGTGTATAAAGTCGCTGGCTCCCAGTAGTGATGTATACACCGCCACGCTTCCTTCAGGCCCAGGAACAATCCTTTGGAGTAGAGAGCAGAAAATCCACCCCATAATGAGCACCCGACAAGCGAAGCTGTTTCGTGAACGCACCCAAAGAAGGAATCGAACAGGGCAGGGCTGTTCAACAAACGCCCAGGGCCGTTCACCAAACGCCAACGATCGGGGTCGGAATGTTTTTGTTTGCCTCCCCTGATGGAAGGTGCCTGTGTATGTATATATATATATATGAATTATTGTGGCGGAGCCTGCCGAGCGCGGGCGGCGGGGGCTCCTTGACTTGTCTCAGGTCGTGCTCCTTGCGCTCCGCCCACTTCTCCTCTCGCGGCGCGGCCCTCGCCCTCCTCCTCCTCCTCCTCCTCCTCCTCCTCGTCCTCCTCCTCCTCCTCCTCCTCCTCGCGAGGCCGCAGGGGGCACCCGAGGGGGCCCGCCGCCGTGGTCGCCAGCCCAACGTGCCGCCGTCGTCGCCGTCGTCGCCGTCGCAGCTGCCGTCGCCGTCGCCGCCGCCGCCGCCGTCGCCGCCGGGTCGGCGGCGTCATCCGCCGCCGTACCGCGCGCGGCCGTCGTCGGCCTCGGCGTCGCCGCCGCCGCCGTCTTCGACTCGAGCTGGGCCCCAGGAGGAGGGGCGGGGGGGGAGGAGGGAGGAGGGAGGGGGAGGTCAAGGAGGAGCGAGAGGGGGTGGCAAGGCAGCAAGAGGAGGGCGTTTGACCTTGATGTGTCATGGTCGGCTTGATCCTATGTTCAGGGCTACGTGTCTACTGGCGGTGGCGATCGTCGCAAAGGCACTCTGGGAGTCTTGGATGCCGTGTTCTTGGGACGGGTATGGTGGGATGCTGTGGGATCACTAGCTGGACTCAGGTTCAAGGGCCCTGTGAGTCTGTCAAGCGTTCTCTGGAACCGATGGCGTGGACCATGCTGGAGCCGTTCAAATGTGTGACCCACGAAGAAGGTGCGATTGATGTCAGAGAAGTGTGCCCGTTGTATAGCACTCAATTGCCTGTGCGTGCTGTGAGGGCGTGGGGTTGACGTGTCTCTGGAGGGCTCTTTGGGTCACCTGGACACCAGACCTGCCTGGGAACTCCTGGTCGCGATGATAGATGCTGGATGGTGTAGGACTCATGTGTGCTGGCCAGTGTCTCGTGTGGATGTTTTCGCAGCGTGCGTGCGTTCGCTCCGGTGCTCATGTCTAGGAAGTACAGGGTTAGCTTGTTCTGTGGGCAGCGGGTGCCTCTATTCCGACCTGAGCTTCGCGTTTGTTTACTGGACGGGCCGATAAGCACCCAATGAAAATCTGGTGGGAGAGATCCTTGTAGGGCTGACAGTACCGTTCCCCTAGGCTGGAGGCCATCATCTGAGCATCACGCTGCTGGGCGTGAGAACAGGGTGACTGGTCTGATCCAGGCTCGTGAAGCCTACTTGGACGGGTCTTAGGAGGCAACTACTGGGAGGCTTTCGTCGGAAAGGTTAAGGAGGATTCAGCCCCATTTGGAAGCTGCTACGCCGGAGTGGGCCTCAGATGAAGCGAGATTAAGCCGGACTAGGCGGGATTAGGCCGGATCAAGCGGGATCAGGCGGGATTGAGGCGGACTTCGGACCAGTGCGAAATCAGACTTTGACCTCCCAGAGGTTGCATCCGACGAAAGAGGCTGAGAGGCGGGGCGTGGAGCGGAATGGATAATCGTCACTGTCTCCCATGCGCCGCTCGTGTCCCAGAGCGTCGCGTGTTGGCCTCCGTACGGGTCGGGGCCATGCGCCGCTCGTGGCCCGACGGCGCCGAGCTCGCGGCCCTCGCCCGTGAGGCTCGAGGCGCGGCAGGCAAAAGCGCACCTGCCCCTCGCTCGCCGTCGCTCGGACGTCCATGCCTCGTGTATTGTTCGACTTCGTGCGTGCTTCTGTCCGCCACATGATCCAGGATGGTCCTCGATGGCCGTCGCCGAGAAACAATGCACACGTCCGAGCGATGCCAAGCTCGAGGCGGTCCAGAAGAGTGAGGCTTCCAGGCGTGCCAGGCTCGGCAACTGGAATGCTGAAATCTGGGCAAGGCATGACGTTGCTCGTGTGCGCGTGCCTGCGGACGTGAAGGCGGTGATGCTCGAGTTTTTTGAGGTCAGGGTGGAGCGAGCGGCTCACCGGATCGGGACGATAGGGGCGGTTCTCGACACCCGCGCCTGCGGCATGATCAAGCATTCTGCTCGACCGACTCGGCCTGGTGGAGCGGGTGCTCCGGCGGAGAAGGCTGCTGGTGTTTTTGCGCGACTGGCTTGGCCCTGGGACACTCGCGTCGGAGACGCATGGTCTCGGCGCCCAGGCGAGCTGGACACCCTGGGTCGACTGTGGCACGTGCGGTGAGGGGCTCCTCGACTGCTTCGCGGTGACGACGACGACAAAATCGGGTGAGGATAAATCGGGGATCTCTGAAATAGGGAGCCCACAAAGGACGTACGCGCCCAGCTATGTACATGAACACGGCCCCTCGATTCGCGAGACCGGCCGCGTTATACGAACATTTGCGCAATGCGTGCTCTCGAAACCAGCGTGGATTCATGTACATGTACGTCCTTCTTTCGTTCCTGATGAAAAGCAAGCCAGAACGCTCTGGATCGGACCCCGGCCGTCTTCTGGCCCAGCACAGCACACCCCGCCCGGTCGCGCGCAACACGCGCGGCACCTCCGAGGAGGGTGCCCAGAACGCCTGCGTGAATGCACATGCAGCCGGCCCACACAGCCCTAGACCGGCGTCCGAGAACAGCGGCGGTTCACGTACACCCTGCGAAATGCTTAAGAAATCATGGGTTAAGAAATTCATAGTCTCAGAACTTGAATAAAAACCCAACCTTTCCATTACAATCTCAGGATTCACATTGAAACATTAAGAATCATCGAGATTCTAGCCGAAAACTGAAGTTTTCTTAAGCATCGCCTTAGGTGTAGCCCGGAGACGCCACAGCTGCATGGGGCTTTCTGGTAGCAAACCAGAGAACACGGGCGCCAGCGCCACACCCTCTTGCCCGCCGGCCCCACGAAGCGCTGGGTCACGTCACCCCCACGGCCCCGTCGGGACTCGGGTTCCCCCTCGCCTCCGAACGCTGGGAGGCCCCCCCGAAGCCCGTCCGACGGCCTCCGGGCCACTTGTCCCTTCGGGGAAGGCCAGGCGGCGGCGAGCGCGCCACTGGCGGCCCTGGCCGGGGCCCGCGCGCGCCCGCCTATGCGCGTGGCTCCCGGGCGAGGGCCTCGGACCCTCGGGCGGGCAGCCTGGCGCAGCAGGATAGGAAGGCACCAGCTATACACCAACACCGATCCTGGCCAGGATCACCCTGGGCCCAGGATCGGTGTCACTACGCCCTCCTGCCCTGCGCAAGAAGGCATATACACACCGATCCTGGGCCCAGGGCGATCCTGGGCCAGGATCGGTGCTGGTGTATAGGTGGTGCCCTCCGACAGGAGCCTGGAGAGCGCGGGCTGGGTCGGACGACGCAGCCACAGGACGAGGGCCAAAAAAGGAAAGGGTAAATCGAAAATTTCTCTGAGATCCGGCGACCGGCTCTGGAACGGATTTTTTATCCTCGCCCCCAGGACGAGGACAAAAAAAGGAAAGGGTAAATCGAGAACCTCGGAGATCCGGCGGCCGGCTCTCTGGAACGGATTTTTTATCCTCGCCCCCTCCCCGTCCGGACCGGGCACCCTCCCCGAATGTACAGGCTCAGGGAAGAGGCCAGGAATCGCCAGACGATGACTTGGTGTTTCCGCCGGAGGCGCCGTGGCGCCCTGCCCCAACCCGCCGCCGCGGAGGCGAAGAGAGGCGTCGCCAGCCATCCGGAGCGCACTCTCGAACGGGCCACCTCTTCGTTGCACTGACACCCTCACCCCTATCTGCGCGCCGCACTCCCTCCGGGGGTACTGGTGTCTTTTGCAAGCAACGCGCGCCCCCGGCTGAGACCGTTTGGATTGCCACGACTTGTCGCGTGCAGTTTTCCCGCCTCATCTTGCGTGCAAAGTGGGCTAGAAAAAATAATAGTGGGCTGGAAGTGGGCTCAAAGTGGGCTGAAATGCTCCGGCGAATCTCAGCCGCATACTCGTATGCTCCAGCAACTCTCCGCCGCATCCTCGTCCTGCGAATTCATGAGCCCAGTCGACGTTTTTTCTATGTCTGGTCGCCCGAGAATTTCTAGAATGCTTTTCGGTTGAATGCTGTATTCCCGTTCGTCGTTTTGTATTCCAGGCGGGCCTCCAGGGCGCGCAACTGAAAGACCGGGCCCGCGCGGGCTAAAAGTGGACTAAAAGTTGGCTGCAAGTGGGCTGACAGTGGACTAAAAGTGAACTGAAAGTAAACCAAAAGTGGGCTAAAAGTGGGCTAGAAGTGTTTTAAACAGTTGCCAGAAGGGCGCTAAAATAATGTTCTAAAAGTGGGCTAAAGTTTGGCTACAACTAGGCTTAAAGTGGGATGCAGGTCAGCAGTGGGAGAAGCAGCGAAATAGTCAGGCAGACAAGACAGGAGGAAGGAGGGACAGGGAGGAGGAGGAGGTGGTGGGAGTGGCTGGCCAATACCCGCTGAAAAACAACGTGGCACACATTGGCACTTGTTCCCGCACCCCTGCGCGCACACAGGATAACCGCGCGGGCACCAAAAATGCACCAGGGCTCTGCGCCCTCGCAACGAGAACAACTTTGCCTTCGCCACATGGGCCACACAAGTGCGAAAACGTACAAACACAAACAAAAACAAAAAACTTGGAACCGAAAGCCTAGGATCGCCAGGTGGCCAAAGCGGCAAACGCAAGTACGACTTCGGCAGACAGAGATACCTGAACTGCGTCGGGCCTCGAGCCTGAACCTCTACATCCCCGAGTGGGAAGGGCGGGGATATGCGGGCATGAAGCGCGCGCCAGGGTTCAAGCTAAACAGTGGTGTCCGTTTTCGTTGTGTTGTCGGTGTCTCTCATTTTGTCTTCGTTCCGCCACTGCTGAACAAAAACGAAAGTGTAACGACAGCGGCCTACGATATTGCCAGAGCACCGATTAGCTCGGAGGTTCCCTGGCGCACGCAGGCGGGTGGAGACGGAGAGGGGGAGGAGGAGACGAAAAGGAGGGGTACGCCACGAAAACATATACACAGACACACTCCGACGAATTTAGCATGTACCTCCCTGTGCAGAAAGGCGCTGGCTCGCAGTGGTGATTTCTACACCGCCACCCTCCCCTGGGGCCCAGGACCAATCTGGTGGAGGGTGTCTTTGTATAGTTGTTTTTGTGGCGGAGGGGGGGGGGGGGGGGGGAGCTAGGTGAGGTGGGAGACGGAGCAGGAGGCGCGGCGGCGGCCAAGGGGGGGAGAGTGTGACTACCTACCAGACCACCCCAACCCAACCCGAAGACCCGAATTTCGGGTTGGGGGGGGGTAAGGGTTCCACACGTGTTTTTTCGATGTTCCCCGACCCCCCCCCCACTGGAAATCGAGGGTAAATCTGAGCCTTCGGGTTGGGTTGGGGTGGTTTGGTGGGTGGTGAGAGAGGGGCGCGGGGCCAGCCTTGCCCTTCTTCTTCTTGAGGTCGAGCGCCTGCCGCCGAGGGGGCAGCGGCGTCCAGCGGCGGCCGGTGCCGTCGCCCTGCTCCTCCTCCTGCTGCTGCTCCTGCTGCTGCTGCTCCCCTCCTGCTCCGTCGAGCTTCGAGCTGTTGGCATTGGATCCGTCCTGGTACCGCCATCCCATCTCTCACCTGATCCTCTCCCTCCGAACCCCCCTTCGTGTACGCATAGGTGGACTAGTAAGGAAAAGCCGGCAATCAAATCGAGCATCGTCCGTCCTTTTGCCACGCCTGAAGATGCCGCCGCACCACCAGACGCGTCGGAGAGGCGAGTCGGACAGTTCGCCTGAGGCTGCCTCGCCACGTGTGGCAGTTAAACATGAGACGTCTCAGCAGCTGCACGCATGAAGGCGGTCGGCTTTCTGAATGTGACTCTCGCCGCAGCGCCGCTTTTTTGGAGGGCAAGCGTTCGGGCGGCCCTCTTTTTTTCGAAATTGGGCGATCGCTTGACATGTCCAATGAGTTATGGCACGAAAGCAAACCATGTGAACTTGCGCAACAGTAATATATGTTGGAGCGGCCTCATTTCAAAATGGGACTCTCACTGGAGACTAAGCAACAGCTGCACGGAGGGCACTCCTTGTCAAATCGGAATATAACTAGATATGTCCTCGAACGCTATTTAAGACAATGTATGCCTGCCTAGCCAACACGATGCAGGGCGGATCCTTTTACAACACGATGTAGGGCGGATCCTTCTTCAACGGCAGTATGGCAGCAACGGGCGATCGTTGTCCAAGCCGTGGTGTACAGAATACAAGGATTGGTGAGGAAGGGACCTAGGACGGGAGGGTGTATTACGGCATCGATGGCGCATCCTGGGTTTAATATGGTCCTGATGCGCCTCCGTTTACTCCGCCTCCGCAACTACCGTATCCTCAGCCTCCTCACCCTCACTCCTCATCATTATCCATCAGACCCCAAGACCCTCTGAAAGCAGCTAGACTCAATCAGACCCCTTAGAAACCCCAAGACCCCTTCCTCCATGTGTTCTGAAGCCAGAGACCACTTGCATGACAAGCATCATCCAGTAGCAGCCGTGCCAGACGTGAGAAGTCGAGCGGCAAGAAGGCAAGGGGACACTTCCAGAAATCCCCCGACCTTCGAAAACTCGATGTTTCGAGCCGCGGGGCACTGCAGCCCGAGCCCTTCCCCAATCATTGTTCTTTCATACAGGGGCATTCGTGTCACCGTCCCAGGCCCGGGGATGGAGAACCTGGACGCCGAGACAGCGAATACCCTTGTCGCCACAGGTCTGGGGGCCACAAGCACTGTTTCGCTCTCGGCCCCATCCGCAACAGAAAGCGGCTGCTCGATTGGAACAATTGAGGCCGAGCCCCTTCGGGTCGATCAAGCGGGTCGCGCCTCGTCGTCGTCGTCATCGTCGTCATCGTCGTCGTCATCGTCGCGGACCTGGCGAGCGCGCGGGTCGATCAAGCGGCCCAGGGACGCTGGACAGCGCATCGTGCACGGCAAGGCGGCGGGGACGGGAAGGCAGGGCGGCCGCGGAGGCGCGGAGCGAGCCCCTGTTTGCTGCCCCGCCCGCGCGCAGAAGGTGCTCGTGCACGGGAGACGCGCGAGACGGCACGATCCTGCCTGCGGCGGCAGGACGGTCGCCAGGAGGACGTCCGTGGACGGCGGTCTCCGCCAGCAGCGGGCACCCCCGACCCACAGCAGGAGTTCCAGCAGCGGGCGCCCCCGACCCACAGCAAGGGTTAGGTCGGGCATGTCCTTCTACAGGCGGACTTTGGAAGGATAATGAACAATGGCTCCCAAAAGTATGCAACAATAACAGAAAGACTACCCCAGTGCGACCCTACCTAGAAGTTGGAGCCCCTAGGAAAGCAGCATTAGTTGTTATGCTGTGCTATGCCATGCCATGCCATGCTGCGCTATGCTATGCTATGCTATGTCATGATGCGCTATGATTTGCTATGCTATGATATGCTACGATATGCTATGTTAAGCTATGATATGTCATGCTGCGCTGTGCTATGCTAAGCTATACTATGATATGCTATGCTAAGCTGCGCTATGCTATGCTATGCTATGCTATGCTGCGCTATGCTATGCTATGCTATGCTGGGCTATGCTATGATATGCTGTGCTGCGCTATGCTACGCTACGCTATGATATGCTATGCTGTGCTCTGCTATGCTAAAGCTCAGCGAAGCTAAGATGAAGGTAAGCTAAGCTAAGATAAACCTGAGCTAAGACGAAGTTAAGCTAAGCTAAGATGAAATAAGCTAAGATAAGATGAGATCAGCAACGCTAAGCTAAGGGGACGTAACTGGGGGAACCGCGGGGCGGATGCCGGGGGAACCGCCCGGGGTGATTTCCACTGCCCGGCCCCTTTAAGCTAGAGGGTAAGAACCCTTCTAGGCAGAGCCTAGGTAGGGAATAATAGAAAAATCGTCGCCTGACTATTTTTCCTACTTTTTAGTACACCTCCTATAGAGGGACATGCCCGACCCACAGCACGGGTCGCGGGCCAGCGAAGGGCGCTGGAGGATCCCGACGCTCCCGGAAAAAGCCGCCTGCACACGGGCGCAACCTGCGAGCCCATAAGTGTCTCTTGTCGAGACCGCCCCCTGACCAGACCCGCCCCCGAAGAGCTAGGGCTCCCAACTTCGCGCTTCGCGCTGCGCGAAGCGCGAAGCGCGAATAACTTCGCGCCCTCGCGCCGCCCCCCCAAAGGGAGAAAAGGAGGACGAGGAGGAGGGGGAGAAGGATCGAGGACCGCGAAGCGCGAAGCGCGAATAACTTCGCGCCCTCGTGGGAGCCCTTGTCGAGACCGCCCCCTGACCAGACCCGCCCCCGAAGAGGCGCCCCCGTGCCCAGCGCCGTGCGGGCGGACGCGCGCGCGGGCGGGGCCGCCTTCTGAGCCTTCCGGAGCCGGCCCAGGTCGTCGTGCACCTGCGGGGGGAGGGGGGACACCGCCATGCGGGCGGATAAGCGAGAGGGGCCACTCTCATTGTGCTCCTCCTCCTCCTCCTCCTCCTCCTCCTTCTCCTCCTCGTCCTCCTCCTCCTCCTCCCCCTCCTTCTCCTCCTCCTCCTCCTCCTCCTCCTCCCCCTCCTCCTCCTCCTCCTCCTCCGCTCCTGTTCCTTATTATCTATGTTTGGTTTTCCTTATTACTCGTTTCTCCCCCTGTCGCACCCCAAGGCCACTTTCAGGGCGTGCCGGGCGTTTCGCCTGAGATTTCCTGACCATTTATAACTGTGAAGCTTAAAACTGACAACAGCTCCACAAATGGAGGGCGGGTGGTTTTCAAAAATGTGGCTAGCGCCGCGCACATTCGTTTAACAAAAAACTATAAGAATTTCTCATTTCTCGGATTGAGGGCGGGTCATTTTCAAAATGCGGCCTCGATACAGCGCGTGCAAGAGTTTCACGAATGGAAAGCGGGTGGTTTTCAAAATGTGGCTCTCGCCTCAGCGCGGCGCACATTCGTTTTAACAAAATTTGCAAATGCTTCGCTCATTGAGGGCGGCTCCTTTTCAGAATGTGGCTCTCGCCTTAGCGCCGCGCACATTTGTTTACAACATTTTCACAAGTTTCACGGATTCCCAGCATTAGCGTGCCAGAACTGGTGTTTTGGAAGGATTCACGAGAATGCGGGAGCAACAGTTACGTTGATTATTGGTGCTGAAGTCCTAAGAATGGCGTTCTGGCGCAACTCAGGATCGTCAAGACGTAATAATCAGGTTGATCCGTGGCGGTGGAATCCTGAGAACAATGTTTGGGCATGCTTCAAGGTCTTCAAGCGGGTGTCTTCCAACGAGGCAGATACATCAATGGGAATGAACCGTTGCAGAGCCTATGACATAATTATGAAGACGGAACTTGGAGGGAGGGTTTACTCCAGCATCGTTGATGATTATTGGGTTGAAACTTGTCCCCTTCCTCCTCCTCGTCCTCCTCCTCCTCCTCGTCCTCCTCCGCTTCCCCTCTCTTCCTCTTCCTCCGCCTCCTCCTCCTTCTCATCCTCCTCCGCTTCCCCCCTCCTCCTTCTCTCCTCCTCCTCCTCCTCCTCCTCCTCCTCTCCTCCTACCTCCTCCTCCTGTTCCCTCTCCTCCTCCTCCTCCTCTCCTCCTCCTCTCCTCCTCCTCCTCCTCCTCCTCCTCCCCTTCCTCCTCCTCCTCCTCCTCCTGTTCCCCCTTTTCCTCCTGTTCGTTCGTTCGTTCGTTCGTCCGTGGGGGCGCGGAGCCCCCTTGCGCCTCCCATGCGCTCGAGCCGCAGCCGGGAGCCAACGGCGCACGCGCCCTGTAGGCCCCCGGCTTCGGTTCCTGCAGCGGCGTCCTCGGCCAGAGCCCGCTGCCATTGTCAGCTACTCTCGCGCGCGCTGGGCCCAATTCGTCACTGAAGCCCTCCGCGAATGCTCGCCCTTCCCACGCGTGTTGATCCCAGCGCTACAACTAATGACGTTGGGTCCCAGCTTTGCCTCCCGCGTCCCGCGGAACAACGCCAGAATTTGCTGCCACTGCTCGCCCGTCTCGCACGCGCTGAGTCCAGCACTGTACCTTATGACGTCGGGTTCCAGCTTCGCCCCCCGCGTCTTGCTGAGCAACGCCCGTTCCTGCTGCCACTGCATGCCCTTTTCGCACGCGATGAACCCCACGCTGTAGCTGGTGACGTCGGGTCCCAGGCTCGCCTCCCGCATATTGATGAGCAGCGGCATGTCCGGCTGCCACTACGCGCCTGCTGCCACTGCACGCCCTTCTTGCACGCGCTGACCCAAACACTGCAGCTGACAACGTTGCCCGTGCCTGCTGCCACTGCTTGCCGTTCTCGCACGCACTGAACCCCACTCTGTAGCTGATAACATCGGAGTCTAGCCTCACCTTCCCCCTTGGCACTGAGCAGCAACGTAAGAGCTCGCTAACCACTGTTCGCACTTCTCGCACGCGCTGGTCCGAGCTCTGTAACTGATGACATCCGGTCCCAGCCTCACCCTCCGCATCGCGCTGAACAGCGCCAGAGCCTGCTGCCACTGCTCGCCCACGACTATCTTCAAAAACTGTTCCTCCGCCTCCTGCGCCTCCACCCCCACCACCTCCGCCTCCTCCTCGCCTTCGCGCGCCTCCTCTATCCCAGCGCTGGGGTGCAGCGTCGCCTTCCACCGCCGCTCCCCCGGCTCAGTAGCTGATGGCGTTGGGTTGCAGCCTCGCCTTCAACATCCCGCTGAGCAGCACAGGAGCCCAGCACTGTAGCCGATGACGGCGGGCGTCAGCTGCGTCTCCCGCCTCGCTGGAGACCGCCAGGCGGCCCACTGCAACTGCGCCCCTGCCTTGCCTGCGCGCGCCGGGCCGCGCAAAGCAGATGCTCAAAGGGAAACCTCCTCTTCCCATCCCGTTCCTCCTCCTGCCCCTCCACGTCGTCCGAGCACGCGTGAAAGCTGCCCGTCCGCCACCGCTGAGAGCCGTCGCCGCCGTCGCCCACCCACTCCTTCTCCACGACGCCCCCCCCCCCCCCCCGGCAACTGGTTTGAGAAATCGGCAAGGGGGGCGGGAGAGGGGAACGGGAAGGAACTGGGGGCCGCGATCGCCGAGTTAGTTGGTTGGGCCAGGCCCTGCTCGGGCCAGGACGAGCGACTCCACGCGTGCGCCGAAGCACTCCACGCAGACATTGATGGGCACGTTTTCCACCACCACCCCACCACCTCCTTCCTCCTCCTCCTCCTCCTCCTCCTCCTCCTCCTCCTCCTCCGCCTCCTTCCCCCTCCATCTTATGGTGGTGGTGGTGGAACACAAACTCATCAGACATCCAACTCGGGCCCGGACGGCGCGCCCGCCATCGCCCCCTGCCGCGCGAGGGGCCCTGCGCCGCGGCGGGAGGCGCCCGCCGCCGCCCCCAGGGCGCCCGCGCACACATCGAAAGAGCACGCTCGAACGATGAAAACGACGCGAAGATCGGGACAAAATCGGATCGGGATAAAACCGAAATCTCTGAGAATCGGCGGGTTTGGAGGACGTTTTGGGCGCCGCGGCCGCTCCAGAGCGTTCAGGAACGCTCTGAGAGCGCTCCGGAACGCTCTGGAGCGATTCATCCCGATCCTATAGCCCTGTTTTGACGATACCGCCGCGCACCCGCCGCGCTCTCCTGGGCCGGGCCCATCGCGACGCCACGTGCACAGCGGGAGCTGGCCACTGATGCGCGCAGCCATCCACGCGGCGAGAAGACGCCACATCCTCCTGCCCCACGGGGCCCACTGCAGCTGGAGAGGGAAGGGCGCGCGCCGCGGCGCGAGAGCCGCGTGCGGTAGGAGACCTTCCGCGGCCAGCGTGGCCATCTGGCCCCCGAACCAGTTCTGCTCCGACCGCCGGGCGACGGGCACAGCCGCCGCGCGCTTCCATCTCGCAACCCAAGCTTCGCAGGCCGCCCGGCCCGTCTGGCTGATGGACGCGATGGGGCAAAGTTGCGCGAACGGCTGGACGCGCAGGTCCGCGATCATCGGGGATGGACAGACCTCCCTTTAGTAAAACGTGGTTTAGTGAAAACGACCTCGGGCCCAAACCTGGCGGGCGCAAGCCTGGAAAGTGACGGCCGCGGCGCCCTCTCGAGAACCGAGAACGGACAATTCACTAATCGACGTGTCGAGGTAGGAGGCCTGTCCACCCCCGAGATCAAGGCGCCGGCGTGGCCCAGCCATGTTGCGCCTGCAGCGGCGCGAGCAGCCGCGCAAGCCTGCCGGGCCACCGCCTAGTGCCGGCAGGAGGAGGTCCAGCCTGGCCCGTGCAGTGGCGCTCCGCGGGCGGGCCAGGGCGGCCACCCGCGGGCGAAGAGCCGCGTCCCCGAGAACGCCCTGGCGCGGCCCTTCGGCGCCCGGGGAGACGCCCGGCCGCAGCCCGAGCAAGGTCTTCACCGCCGAGTGCATCGCTTCGTTGAGCATGCGCGCGACCGCCACGCAACCTCCAGAAAAGGAAGCCAGCGGTTCAGCACCGCGAAGGACCGACGGGCAGGCGCGCATGCTGAACTGCTCCCCGGCCCAGGGAACGCCGAGGCCTAAATCACAGGTTGCCGCGGCGAGCTCGGTCGTAGCTGCCCGTAGCTGCGCGCAAGCGCTGTCCAAGAGCCCCTGGAATGTGAGCTCGTTGGCAACCCTCGCGCCGAGCACATCCAGCCACTGCGCCTCCGCCACTGGCTCGCCAGCATCCGCGCCAAAGTCGGTCGAGGAACCAGTTGTGGGGCAGACAACGAGGACTGACGGCCGCTTGACATCCCCTTGGAAGACGCGAAAGGCGACCAGAACCTGTGGGCCCTCAGGACCCCTCCCTCCCCTAGACCCCCCCCTGCCCCCCTGCGGGACCCAGAGCCCGCCAGGGTGGGGTGGGGGGGCATCGAGGAAGCACCTATGGGGGCGGAAGGCGACAGACCAGCGAGGCGCAGCTGTTGGAGCGCACCCCGGGGCCGCAAAACCGCCATGCACCCACAAACACGCTCGAAAACCTCCCAACCCCCAACCCGAAACGCTCGAACCAAGGAGGAGGAGGAGGAGGAGGTGGAGGAGGAGGAGGAGGAGGAGGAGGAGGAGGGGGATGAGGACGAGGAGGAGGAGAAAGAGGAGGAGGAGGAGGAGAAGGAGGAGGAGGAGGAGGAGGAGAAGGAGGAGAAGGAGGAGGAGAAGGAGGAGCCTTCTCGCCCTTCGCCCGCAGCAGCGCCTTCCTCATCGCCAGCTCCTGCGGGCGAGGCCCTCGAGAGCGCGGGGGGCCCGTCGCGCACTCGGGCGACGCCCTGGGCACCCCGGCCGCCCGCCTTCCCGCGCTGCAGTCAAGCCGCTTACGAAGGATGCGCGGGATGCTAGGAGGCAGCTACAGGGCAGCTTTCAATACATCGGATTTTTTGTATGAATAAATTGATGCATGAAGTCATCGTTGTAGGTATTAATCAACCCTATATTTTTAATGCATGGTCCGCACGCGGAGCATGTATTAAAACCGGCGCTGTACTGGGAGGTTCTTGTCGGAAAGGGTAAGGAGGATTCAGCCCCATCTGGGAGCCTTTACGCCGGAGTGGGCCTCGGATTCAGCGGGAGTGAGCAGGAGTAAGAGGAATCGAGAGGGATCAAGCGGGATTCAGCGGGATTCAGCTGGACTTCGGACCAGGGTAACATCAGAATTTGACCTCCCAGGAGTTGCGTCCGAAGGGATGCAAGGGCCTTGGAGGGCCATGTTAGCTTTTTCGAGCGGGGTGGGCCAGCGAAAATCGCCAAGCATGGGCCGAAGGGAGAAGGACGCAAGTGCAACCTTGGAACATAGCTCCTCTCTGCTGTGCGGGTTGATTGTGTGTTCTTCGGATCTTCCTTAGCTCCACCAGAGTGCCTCCCCCCATCGAGGGAAAAAGCACGCTGACCATGACCGAGATCTCACGGGATCTTGTCGACAACGACTTTGGTCATGGTCCATGGACCCATTCTCTCACGCTTCACCAGAAAACCCGTTGCCGGCCACACCACCCCCGCCCTCCCCCCATGGTCACGTCACGATTCGCGCCGGCGCCGACTGAGCCATACCTGGGCATCCAAAGAGGGCACCGGCGCGGATCGTGACGTGACTGGCCCCGTCTCCCCCACCCCCCCTCGCCCCAGTCACGCCCGTCATCGCCAGGGGATACCAAACTTTATGCATGCTCGCCGTCCCCGCTTCGCGAAGACGATCCACGGCTCGACGCTGACCAACATGGACGGCGACAAGATCGGCACGACGTTTCCGCGTCCAATCTCCACGTCAGCTCCACCAGGCCCCTCCCCCTACTCGTACGAATGTCATGACAATCGACACTCTAACAGTCCTATCATTGAATTAAACCTGTTTCAAACATGTTTTTACATCGTTAATAACATGTTTGAAACATATTTGAGGCATCTGGAAGTTATTTGGCAACATGCTTCCTCTCCATTGATCGTCCTCCACAACCCTACTCCTGGGCCAACTGGCCCAGGGGCGCTGGCCAACGCACTGCGCACCGCAGGCAGGGGAGAGAGAGCAGGGCGGCCGCGGAGAAAAGGAGCTGAGCACCGTTTCACCACCGTTTAACCGACACCTTCGGCGGTGGACAAACCTCCCTTCAGTAAACCTCCATTGGGTGAAAACGGCCTGGGACCGAAACCGACGGACCTGGAACCTGAAACATGACGGCCGCGACGCCCTCTCGCGAGTCGAGAACGGCCAACTCCTGAATCGACATGTCAGGGTAGGAGGTCCATCCACATCCGAGAGAACCCGTCCCACCGTCGTGGCCTGCGCCCCACGGGCCGATTTGCCACCCTGGATGGGGATACGGGCCGTTCCGATCGAGCTCAGATGGCGGGGGGGGGTCTGGATGGGGAGGGGGAGGGGAGAGCTTACCAGCCTCGAACTTCTCCCTATCCCTGAGATGACAATCTTAGGGACTCGCCCTCAAAAAAGAAGGGAATCCCTAAGAGTGGCATCGTGATGGGGAGGGGGAGGGGGACAGGGGCCGGCCCAACGACACCGAGAGGAGGAACGGGCGGGGCGGGGAGCAAAGATAAAGGGAAATTAGGACACACAAAAAAATACACACAAATAAAAAGTATCCCCATATTTTCCTATATTTTCTAGGTTTTTGTCTTCCCCCCCAATTCCCATATTTTCCCATATTTTCCTGGGAATCGAGGATTAATTGTGTCTGTGTGTTTTTTCCCCTCCTGAAAAGACCATGAAGAAAGGTCTTCTTCAGCATGCTCCGGGCTCGGGCCCGCCAGAGCTGGTGGAGGAGAGACGTGACGAAGGAACAACACACACCCATACCCATAGGGGCGGTCGTGGGGAGGAGAACTGGCTGTGGGTATGGGTGCGGGTTGTCGGACCCTGGGGAACGCTCCCGTTCGAGCGGGGACCCCCATCCGACAACACGCACCCATCGCCCTCTCCGACCCCCCTATGGGAATGGGTGTGCGTTGTTGGTTCGTCGAGACGTCAGAGCGGCCTGGAAGAGGCCATCTCGCGGACGCGCGCGAAGCACGGGCTCGGGAGCCGCAGATCTGGCGCGCGGGTGCCAGATCCACAGGCCGGGGAGCGGACCCCCATTGCAGCCTGACGGCGGCGGCCAGCGCCGTTTGCGCGGCGACGGAGGGCGCCGAGGAAGCATCCGCGCGCGTTCACTCAGGCTGGCGCTTCCTCCATAGGCCTCCCTGCTCGCTCCTCTTCAGCCTTCCCCTCCCACCTCCTCCTCCTCCTCCTCCTCCTCCTCCTCCTCCTCCTCCTCCTCCTCCTCCTCCCCCTCCTCTTCCTCCTCCTCCTCCTCCTCCTCCTCCTCCTCCTCCTCCCCCTCCTCTTTCTCAACCCTACGTTCTGGCCGCAATGTTGTTGCGCGTAGGTGTAGTACTGATGTTAGTAGCCGTATTACAAGTACCATTGTCATGCTCATTCGAAGTATTAGTAGTGATTGAATATATATATATATATATATATGTATGATGATGTTCCTCCTCCTCCTCCTCCTCCTCCTCCTCCTCCTCCTTTTCATGTCTCTTTCTCCCCCTCGTCCTTCCAAATTCCCCTCTCCTCCGCACCATATCCTCCCTCATCCTTCTCCTCCTCCTGCTCCTCCTCCTCCTCTTCCTCCTCCGCCACTCCTCCTCCACCTCCTCCTCCTCATCCTTCCCGTCCTCCTCCTGCTACTCTTCCTCCTTCTCCTCCTCCTTCTCCTTCTCCTCCATATTATTAGTAGTATGCTTCTTTTAGTACGAGAATGATCCATATTATTATCAGTATCCTCCTCCTCCCTACCCTCTGTTCCCTCCTCCTCCTTCTTCTCCTGCTCATCCTCATCCTCCTGAACTACCCTCTCTCCCACCCTACTCTCTGCTCCATCTTCCTCCGCTTCATCCTTAACTACCCTCTCCTCCTCTATACCCCCCCACTCCTGGTCCTCCTCCTACTCCTCCTACTTCTGTTCTTCCTCCTCCTCCTCCTCCTCCTACTCCTCCTACTCCTCTTCCTCCTCCTTCTCCTCAATACCCACTACTCCTCCATCTCCTCCTCCTCCTTCTCCACATGCTCCTCCTCCTCCTCCTCCGCCTCCTCCTCCTCCTCCTACTATAGCATGGAAAGAAAAGGCCCTAGGGGACACGGGTCCTGGACCCCCCGGGCAGCATCTCCGTGCTGAGCCCGTCTCTGACAATCCCAAGCCCGTGGACGTCTCCGAAGCACGAGAACGGGCAAAAAACAGACAGCCTGATTCCCTCGGAACCCTTTTCCGTCATGGCGGCACTCCTCCCCCTCCTGCCCCCAGAGTGCGATATTGACTACCTGCCAGACCACCCCAACCCAACCCTTTCGGGTTGGGGGGGTGCGGGTTCCATATGTGTTTTTCAGTGTTCCTGGACCCCCCCTCACCACTGAAATAGATGGCAAATTGAAGCCTTCGGGTTGGGTTGGGGTGATTTGGTGGGGAGTGAGGAATCATTGCACCTGCCGGTGTGAGCTTCCAGGAAACTCCCTGCGACTGCGCGGCCAACAGTGCGGCGTGGCACCCGCTGCAAACACCTTCCCGGTTTCCTGGGCCATAAAATCCGCGCATGGTGCCCCGCGATGCACGATTACATTGACGCCCTCGCGCCCTCGCGTGGGCGATCGACACGCTATCCATTATTTTCCCTGCCCACCCAGAGTTCTAGAGGAGCGGAGCTGGGGCATGGAAAAAGGTCAAGCCCTTGCGCGTGAGGTGTTGTATCAGTGCCCTGCCCCCCCATGGCGGAAAACGCCATCGCGCCCTCGCGCCAACCCCTTGGAGGAAGGCACCCGCGCTGGCTCAGGCCGCGACGCGCGAAGCGCAATCCTCTTCGCTACCCCGCGAGCGACCTGGGACGCACAGAGACATACTAATACTAGATGTCCTGCTTGGAGGCGCGCGTCCTTCCCGAACATATAGTATACCCATCTTGTAGTATATCGTTTCCCGAGCGGTGTGGCCAGAAAGCGCCCGCCACGACGCATATACTAGAAGATTTCTCGGTGCGCGCATCGCCCCTGAGGGGGTGACGCACATATAGTAGAAGTATGTCGGAGTGACGCCGATGACCCGGGCTTTCCTCCCCCCCCGTTCCTCCTCCCGTGAGGCCTCGACGAGTGCCCGTGTCGGGCCCCAGAGCGGGCCCCCCCAATGGGCCGCAAGAGGATCGACGGAACGCCCCCGAGACGTTCCCCTGCAAGACGAAGCCAGGATTTGGACGCCCGAAATGGGTACGGACAAAAAATGGGCACAATGCTAGAGGAAAGAGAACTATGCACATACACCGATTCTGGCCAGGCCCACCCTGAGCCCAAGATCGGTGCATACGCCCTCCTGCCTTGGCCAGGAAGGCATATGCACCGATCCTGGGTCAAGGATGGGCCTTGCCAGGATCGGTGCATGTGCATAGTTCTCTTTGCCCGACCCCTGCAAGACGAAGCCAGGATTTGGACGCCCGAAATTCGGGGATGGACAGACCTCCCTTTCGTAAAACGTGGTTTAGTGCAAACGACTTCGGGCCCAAACCTGGCGGGCGCAAGCCTGGAAAATAACGGCCACGGCGCCCTCTCGAAAACCGAAAACGGACAATTCACTAATCGACGTGTCACTGTTGGGGGTTCTGTCCACCCCCGAGAAATGGGTACGGACAAAAAATGGGCACGATGCCCAACAACAAATGTTTTCCCAGACCGGCAGCGGCCGCTGTGGGGCAGGCGGCCTTCTGTCTCAGATGTACACCGGCCGCGGCGACACCGACAGCGAGTCCTGCACAACAGGAGCAGGAACTGCTGTGGGGCATTGCACCCCTTCTTTCCGTATCAGTTCGTCCGTGCCGACAGGACAGGGACAAGATCGGACAGTAGGGGAACAAAAAGTGGCATAAACATAAAAATTCTGAGGTCCGCGCGGACTTCTCGGATCGGCGCTGGGGCCCCCAGGCGGCGCCTCCGGCGCCGCCCCTGGCGCGCTCCGCGCGCCACGGGAGGGGGGTCCAGCGCCGATCCGAGAAATCCGCGCGGACCTCCGAGTTGCTATGTTTGTGTCACTTGGTTGTTCCCCTAGACAGGGCTAAACTCGGGGATCTCTGAGATCCAGCGGCCCTGGAAGACGCACCGCGCGCCGCGGCCTCCTCGGAGCGCTCGGGGGAGAGAGCGCGCCCCGAGCGCTCTGGAACGGCGTCGCCCCTGCCCCCGCCCCGCCCGGCCCAGGCAGCTCCGGCCCGGCACCAGCAGGCCCAGAGGGGGGGTCCTGAGATCGCCCTCTGGGAGGCGCCGGGGGAGGCCCAAAATGGCCCCAAGAGAATCGGAAGGCCGGGAGGGCCCCGCCCCTCTCCAGACCCCCGCGGCTAGCCTACCGATGGTGGGATCCTGGGCGCGTGCCGCTTCCGTACTAGCCAGCCGCTCTGCGGTTGATCGGAAGCTTCTGTACATATGATCCAGGGTCGAGGGCCCACGGCCCCCCCCCCCCCCAGATGGTATGGTCCCAGGATTCCTCGGCCCCCCCCCCCAGATGGTATGGTCCCAGAGACGACGACGACGACGAAGACGACGACGACGACGACGACGACGGCGACGACGACGACGGCGACGACGACGACGACGGCGACGACGACGACGACGACCACGACGACGACAACGACGGCTGCGGCGGCGACGACGCCGGCGGCGGCGGCGACGACGACGATGACGACGATGACGACGGCGACGACGACGATGACGACGACGACGACGACGACGACGACGACGAGACGACGAGGACGACGACGACGACGACGACTCTGAACGCACCACACCACATCCACAGAGGGGGCACCGCAGCGCAGCACCACGCCACGACCTCTGAACCACCACAGCACCACACCACATCCACAGGGGGGGCCACCGCAGCGCAGCACCACGCCACGCCCACAGGGGGGGGCGGGGGGACCATCGCGCGGGGGGGGGGGGGCCCAATGGCATCAGCATTGGGGTGGGGGGGCCCAAGCCCTGGACCATATATAGACATGAAGAGTTTTCCTCTGGCTACAAATTCCCCTCTGCGTGCCACGGAGTCGGTGCACAGGAGTCCCCATGTGCAAAAGCAGGGTCAAGAAGAGGAGGTGGAGGAGGAGGAGGAGGAGGACCAGTGCAAACCCAAGAGTCATCAACGATGCTGGAGTAAACCAACCCTCCAAACTCCCTCTTCATGGGCCCCTACAACGGTTCATTTCCAAGGAAGTGACTGCCTCGCTGGAGGATAACCGTTTGAAGACCCTCAAGCATGCCAAAACATTGTTCTCGGGATTCCAACGCCACGGATCGACCTGACTGTTGCGTCTTGACGCTTCTGAATCCGCCGACCCCTTGGGGTTCATCGGCGTGTGAGATGTTCCCCCTCCCCAAACCCCTCCCCCGGGAGCCCGGTCCGGTCCATTTGGAGGGGGGGGGGGTCCGGCCGGACGGCCCCGGACGGCCCCGGGCGGCCCGAACCCCCCGAGGTCTCATCCGCTCCCGAAAATCGTGGAAAAACACGTGACAATCGTGTAGGGACGCGTCTGGTGGCCTCGAAATGGGTTTGGGACGCCCCACGAGCGCTCCAAGACGTCCAAGTTGGCCCGAAGACGGGCCACGAGGCGTCCTCGACGGCAGAAGAGGTCCCCACGAGCCCCCCCGAGGGCCTCCGAGATGCGTTCCACAAGGGTCCCTAGACGCAAAAATTGGGCCATTCCCTTCGTGAAATGTACATTTGTTAGAAATACAGCTTTGGATCTTTCCGATGCTCCCCGACGGCCCAAGAGGCTCCCAAACCCGCTCCCAGACGGCCCCAGAAGCCTCGCAGAGGGTCCCCCACAGACCCCTAGAGGGCCCAAGATGGGCCAACAGGCGTCCAAGACGGCCCAAGAGGGCTCCGAAAACGGCCCTAAGAGCGTTCCAGGAGCGCTCCGAGTTGCCTCCACGAAGCTCCACATGGTCCCAGACGGTCCAAGAGCGATCAGAAACATCGACGACGACCTCCCGACGGCTCACGAGGCCTCCCCAGGCGCCCCCACAGGCATCCAAGATTCCCCCCAAGAGGCCCTCTAGACGCAAAAAATCGCTCGTTTCCTTCGTCAAACGTAGATTGTTTCACACGTGCGCCTTTTGGGGTGTCCCCCGCTCCTGGACGGCCCCAGAGCCCCC